GAAAAACGAAAAAATATGAGGTAATTTAGCATTTCCAAGCACAAATATCCTCAATTAAAAAGATCTGTTTAAATTCATTTATTAATAAACAGCATTTTTTACAAATATCTTGGGTTAATTCAAAAAAATTAATACACAATTTAATACAGAATTTCCGATAAGGATTTCATCGAATATGCTCCGCTGGCCGCTATTTACACAAGTAAGAGTGCTGTAGTCGAGTGAGCTCGATTTACCCTGAATTCAGCTGTTAAATATATTCTAAGACTATTGGCAAATTTCCCTATAATACATTTTGCGTCCAAATGTGAGCTGGTCTGCAATTGCACTCATTTTTTATAGCAAGCACAGGCACTGATGAGTAAAAACAATCGAGCAGCGCATGTTTTTATTCACAAGCCCGAACTGATCCTAGCTGACTGGCAACAAACACGTACATATACATAAATACATACATACATATATACGTACACGCAATTGTAACGGGGTAACGGGGGTCTGCAGAATACACAGACATATTGACGCTCGCGTCTATTATACTGATGCATACAGAAAATGCTTGCATCTGCTGATAGAAATGCGATCAGTATGAGGATATATTTTCGACTATAACTTGGGTTTTTATTAACCGATCTTGACGATATTTAAAAAGTTTATCAATAATATGTACATTCTTTATAAATTAGAAGATTCTGCCTTTAAAATTGTGGCATTTATTACTATCGGATATTTAAACGTATCGATAATCGAGAAACGGAGGCAGTTATCGATAAAATAAAGCAAACTTGATCGGCGCCTGGTATACAAGAACCTATATTCCAAATTTGAAGTCTCTAGCTCATAGTCTTTGAGATCTGTGTGTTCATAGACAGACGGACATGGCCATATCGACTCGGCTGTTGACCCTGATCAAGAATATATATACTTTATGGGGTCGGGGATGCTTCCTTCTGTCTGTTACAGACATTTGCACAAAACCAATAAAACCTTTTTACCGATTTTTAATATGTTCAGGGTATAAAAATGCTGAATTGTTGCCCAGTATCGAAAAAAGCAGCGTTTTTAAGTCCGAATTTTTAAGTTTGTAAATCAATCAAAACTAATATTGCTTATGGAATAGTTTCTGTAACATAGAATATGAGTCTAATTCGACATTAAGAAACCGCTTTTTAATTCGATCAAAATCTCACTTCTTTATCAAGTATATCACTTTAGCAATGCAATTGGAATTATTCGCATTCATCTTTTTGATATAATTAAAATGACTCAGTAACATTATTGTTCGAAGCAAATAATTGAATAGCCACTTAGATTTGTTGGTTTGATTAGCTACTGTAGAGTTACATTTTAATTATTTATCTTCAAACAAGATCAGGATATATTTCTGATGTCAAACAATGTGGTAAATCATTATCCGAAATGTTTATGCAGCCCAAGTTTATGTTATTAAGCAGCACAACAAATTAAGGGGAGGTAAGTAAGGTAAGATTATTAATCTCTAACTCGGTAGATCTTAAAAGTTTCTAAGAAGGCTTTGACCCAGATGCCGAAGTCTTTTCTGACAGAATACCCAGGAGTGACAAAGGAAGAACAATTTCTTCTTTACTCCTCTTGGTAAAAACAATTAATAACACTTTTAGCTACTGAATTTCACTTGAATGGCTCAATTAGCCAAAGTAGCGTGTCCATCTCTACACGCTATTGCGTGACTGACCTTCATAAACATTTTGCATTTACCCACTGTTCTATTTTTTAGAAGTATCTATTTAAATATCTAAGAGAAGATCTGAGCTTTTCGAACAAAAATATGAGCATGAATTTTGGGTTAAATTGATCAAAGAGAGACACATTTCATTTTTAAATTAAATAATTAAATACAAAAAAAAATAAAAATAAACATAATAAAATATATAATACTTATAATAAAAATTAACAGATACTTAAGGTTAAAACCTATTAAAACAAATCTCGTTTTGTAGATGTTTAAATTTATACTAAGCTTACTAACTTAAGATTGGCTTAAGCCTCCTACTGGGAATTATCCTCCACCTCCGTGTTGGATGCTGATGTCTGTATAAGGATATCCCATACAAAAAATGTTAATGTTTTTAACCAATAAGGCTTACTGTTAGGCTTACCCCCACAAGAGTTTTTCAAGATTTTCAAAATTTTTTCAATTTAAATCTTACTTTTAATTTCAGTGTTACTATTTAATACGTTTCACATTTCCTACTTAGGGTATTAAAATTTCTCAGTTCTTAAATGAAATTTAAACAAAAGAAAAGACCAATAGAACAGCCACGGAAATATTACAAAAATCAACAAAGAAGAGATATTTTATCCGCCTAAGATGGCATATTCTTGCCAGAGTAAACTACTCACATCAAAATTTCATAATAAACTTAAACAAAATTATAGGGGGCATTATAACAGTTGAAAGTGAGTGTCAGCGGGCGAAAACTGTAAAAAAAACTTCTCGTTTTACAAGAAATTGCTATATTTCTAAAACGAATTTCGGGATCGAATCCATGTAAAATCACGAGATTTTTTAAATCAAATTAAGTGAATTTATAAAACTATTTTAAATGTTTCTATAATGGCAAAGTAATGTTACTAAATAAATACATGTAAGTAATAAAAAAGCTATTACTGATGAAACAATTACAATTACACATATAAATACACATATAAAACAATAACAAAGTCAATCCAAAGGAACATTTTATTTAAATTTTAGAAAAACCTATGAATTGAGAAAAAAAAATACACTGATTTTTATTAAGGCACAATCTACCATTTTAGAAATATACTTTCTAAATAATACGGTGAGAATGGTGATTTCTTAAATTCAGGGAGATTTTTTTTCTGAGTGTATTCACTGGATGTTTATGCTTACAAACATTGAATAGGCGCCCTGCTGACGGCAATCTGAAGAATTTTTTTGGTGAATTGTTTGACGAGGGTGGAGAGAAATAGCAAAACATAGTTATGTATTCTATACATTGAATAGTCCGACTGGAGCCGAGACTTGCTGGAGCCAGATAAATACTCATTTTAGTCCTCATCCTAACAAACATCATACATATCTTGGAGTATATATATATATGTATTTAAGTAGAAAATAGGGTGACAGTTCACACTGGGTCAATGGCAATTGTGTGAACGATTGTTTGTAATCTTTTTATCTATATGGAATAATTATTATTTTAATTGGGGTACGTGCACTGCGACCTACAAGATCTATTGTGCCCCCTTCTGAGCCTATAGCTCCTCAATTAACCCAGGTCCTGCACAAATTTTAGGCTCTTTGTTTGGTTGAGGGCTTACAAAATGGTCAAAACATGCATCCCCAGTATGCTGCATTTTTTCCTAGTTAAGGCAACACACTCCGCTAAAATATGCATTGAGGATTTTTCCTCGGTTACTCAAAACCTGCACATTTCGTTGCTACAAATACCTAGTTTAGTTAGGTGACTTCTTAGTCTTCACTGTCCTTTCAATAGACCGATTAGTACCCATGCTATCATTCCGTAGTCAGTATGGCCCTTGCTACCATTAGGTATAGCCATCTCATCATACTTGGTGATGTACCCCATGACTTCCCGGCTATGCTACGACAGTAGCAAAAATTCACCTCGTGTTATGATAACAAAGTCATCGGCAAATCCCTGACGTTGAATACCTCTGTTGGCAAGTCCGTCCAGAGACAAATATGGGAAACATATGAGCAAAAACAACAATCTCAAAATGAATTTCATGAATTATATATTTAATGAAATAAATTTGAAAAATAAGCCAATCTAACTATAGTATAGTCGTTTAATATCGGATGCAAGAGAAAGTTTTTGACAGTTATTTTTTCAATCAAAGGTCAATTGATAACTATGCTTAGTTGGAGCACTTTAGTACTCAAGCAGAAAGTGTTAAAGATTTGAATAGATTTGATTGTACATCATAGTTTTTATGTGAATAGGCTACTAGAGGCAACAGTAAGAAATCAGACATACAAATGTACATACTTGAAGTTTTTGTTACATAAAAACAAATCACATAAATTCCACATTATCCAGCCAGACATAAAAATAATAAAAAAAATGTATAAGCTGATATAACTATACAGCACATCCTGTACAAATACTTACTATACGCATCACACCATTAATTATATATCAATACATCATGATCATACAAATATTATAAGAAAGTATACTTTATTTTTTAGCTATGCTTTAATTAACACGTTATTTTTTATTGTATATGAATTCAAACAATTTCATTTTTTGAGATTCAAAAGAAAATTTCATGTACTTCAAAATATTTATAAAGAATACTAGAAATGCAACAACTTTCCATTATTCGTTTACTTTTGTACAGCAGCTCTTGTGTTTTAAAAATCTTTACATATATATATACATAAATTATGGTTAATTTAAAAAATGAAATACACCCATTTCTCGCTTTACGGCCTAGATACGTTCCACGAAACTTGGCCGCAAAGCGAAAAGCCATATAAGGAATCATTTATTCTAAAACAATAAATAACTCATACAAATTCCATGGAATCGGTTCGAATTTGTTAAAAAATACATACATGGCAAATACATACATTTGTACATCAAATAATGACAGACTCCAAGAAACAACAATAATCTATAAACAAAAATTAAACTACTTTTTTGTTATTAAATGGCTTTAATCCGAACAAAATGAAGAAATGATAACCTGCAGATCATTGTCATCATTTTTCGCCGGTAAGGATGGGCTTAAAAAATTGTGCAACGTAAAGCTTGTCTTGTTTTCTTGTCTATTTCTATTTATAACAACTAATACCTGAGTTAATTGCTCGATAAATTTTAGCGCTCCGTTTATTCCTTGCTCGAAATAGGAAAAACTTTCGAAAAAGTTTTTGATGTTAGCTGTTTGGATACAACAGACTCTGACTCTTCATCATAGATATATCAACATCGAGAAAAAGTTTTTTTTTCTGTTATAGGGAAACATTTTAGGCCGTAAATCGAAAACGTGCCTTAATTAAAAATGGACATTATAACAAAATGTCATACAAATAGCAGTAGCATAGCGTGGTATGAATGTACCAGGAACAAGCAAGCTTAAACAAGACTGCTATTGAAAGATGGTACTGGAAAAAAATAAAGTATTGAATTATATGTTTGATTAAATGAAATAAATCATTATTATGTAACATACCTTATAGATTATGGTCTTAATTTATTTTTAAAATTTTCTAATGTGTTTTTCATTCCATCTTGAACATCATTATGTAGCATGGTGGCATCGTCCTCCCTTTCGTAGTCGTAGTCGTAAACCAAGAAGAGTATTAATCCAGCAACGACAAGGACCAAAAAGCACCCAGTAAACATCGAAATGAGAATTTTGATTGCGCACTTGAAGCAGCTGAAATGAATGTATGAGAATTTTATTGTAAGAGAATCAGTCTAACTTATTAATTCAAAATAAGTAAATATTTAAACGTAAAAACGGACGTTGTCCAAACACTTTATTGACAGTCCAAGGAATGTATAATTCTGGTTTTTAAAACTTCACAATTATTTATTAATTAATGAATCTTCTTAATTTTGTTGTTAAAGAGTCTCAAGAAGTTCACTTAACAGTAGAAAAATAAGAAAATCAATAAAAGTCAACATTAAAATCCCATTTTTCGCAAAGAAGTTAGAAAATATGAATTATTTCCTGTATCCAAACACTTTATTGACATACAGTATATATTTATATGCACTTGGATATCCACACACACACACACGCAAAGGTCACCCAAGTGGTTTATGGGTAAATTAAACTTACCAGCACATTACGTGAGTTTTCTTAGTTCTACACATTTTCCTTTGGTTTTTAGGTTTACTGAAATAAATATTAAATTAATAAAGAACTTGTATTTTATGAAATGTTTTGTTTATTGCGAGCTAACGCAGCCGCACACGACCCACCGCTTCCGAAGTTGGACAGATACTGATAACAAATATTGTCTGACAGCTCTCCAACTCCGGCGGCAATTTGCGTTCTGTGAGACGAGCGAAATGTGTGTAACACTTATACATACGAGCATACACACACGTACACCAGTATAAGCACAGCTACTGCTGCTGCTAGAGAGAGGGAAAATAATCTCAGTCGTTAAGTTGCCTTCTACTTAACAGATTCTTAACGCAGTATTCTCAAAGTACATTGAGAAAAAAATTGTGTGTACATTTGATTATACGAGTAAGGTTGTCATAGATCTCGTTAACTGCTTAGTAACATTAAAAAAAATATATATAAAAAACTTAATTATATTTTTGTAAAGCACGTAAACTTAAAAATTACAATTGTTAAAATATCTCATATTTATATTGTGTGGTTAGAAACACAGTTGCTAGATGTAGTACAATTGTACCAAAAATTGTTTACCAAAATTATAAAGTTTTTGTGAGTTTTGTATTTATTAAACAATTATTTAATTGTTATTAAAATTAAATAGTGAAATAAATTTGAATTTAATATTCTGATAATAGAAAATACCCCTCATTTGGTTTGGACAGCGAATGAAAAAAAATATTTTAAAATTAATCAATTTAAAAAAAAATTGGTATTTGATTTAACTATGATAATGTCTTGCCGGCACACGGAGGAATGCAGAAGACAATTGAACGGTTGAATAGAAATTTCTTTAGGCCAGGATTGTCAAGAGGTGTACGAAATTTTATCAGAGAATGTGACAAGTGTAAGGAGTCTAAGGCTCCTAATTCGATTCTTCATGCTCCAATAGGAGAGCAAAGAGTGTCATGTCGGCTTTTTCAGAAGCTGTACATAGACATACTTGGTCCCTACCCTAGGAGTAAGAAGGGTCATATTGCCTGGCCTGTTTATAGTCCTTGATCATTTTAGTCGGTATCATTGGTTATGTCCACTTAAAAAATGTTATACTACGCCGATCACAGATTTTTTACTAAAGTTCCGTTCTTCATTGCACCAATCGTTAGGATGCTCTCCGTATAAAGCTTTATTTGGTCTAGACATGATTAATCATGGAGAGGATTATAAATTAGTAAAGAGGTTGTCCTTATTAGAAGAGCCAGTAAATTTAATCAGAGAAGATTTAAGATATTAAGGGATCAAGTCAAGCCAAACTGTAAATAATTCCAGCTTATCTGACTCTTGATAGTCGCCAGAATTATATGGTGTTGTAATGGACCCATAATCCATTTAATTTAATTTTATTGAATAGAGCCGTACAAATTTACAATAAAATAATACATATACTTTGCCTCGGTACAAAAATAAAATCCGGTAAGAGAAGCTTATCGATCTTTGAATTTGAATTTTGGAACTCGCGCCCAAAATTTAGCCGATACCACCACCGTGCGATATATCGTAAGGAATTCAGTAGGGTCTGTTATCGGCAGCACCATTGTTAACAGCTCTGCTGAAGAGAAGCTGCTGCTTCTTAGTTCCTCCTTTTTTTTATTCGAGGTCGTGGAGCAAGAAGGCATGTCCCGCCACTTTATAATTACAAAATTATAAATTGAGAACTGGCAAGAAAGAAAACCAAATTTAACATTTTTTTAAGCCATCCACGGCGGTGATCTTCATTGCTGATCGAAGCGGCAAAAACGTTCACTTCCCGGCACATGATTTCATTGGTAGGGGAGTATATTGTTGAAGGGTGAAAGGAAAACACATGGATTCCAAGCCCGGGATTGGCATATATCTAATACATGGCGTGGATTATTGTTTGTTTATAGTTCTGGCTTTAGCACTGTCTCCCTAGGCAAAATAACATTTGTTTTCTGTGGTAAACCAAGCCAAGCCGAAAAGAAAAAGCACAAAAAGCATATATAAAATAGAAACTCAAACATACAAGAGTGCAGTGATCGCAAAGAAAATAAAATAAACCAAAGTTAAAAGGTCCAGCAGCTTAAAGCGCAGAAGGCAAATCAAAATTATAAATAATCAATATAAGAAGCAAAATTATGGTTATTTTTAAGTGCAACATTTTTTTTTTACCAGTGCTCTCAAAACAATTTAGTTTCCTGTGAATAAATAATCAAACTATTAAATGAAACCTGTGGACAATGGTCACAAAGTGAAAACAATAACAACAAACAATCAAACACGATAAAACAAGCCCCAACCGAATCTACAATACCAAACAAAAACAAACACAACAATTAACAACAACAACAAAACATCCAACTTTATTGTGTCCACTTTTCATCCGGCGGTATAGTACAAAAAAAAATGGGAAAAAAGACTCAGTAGTCTGCATGAAAAAAGTGCTTAATAGTTAGAAACAAATACACATCAAATCAGATACAACAAGTATATATAAATATATATAAAAAAAAAGTATGGTGATGTGTTCATAGGCTGTAGTCTTCTACAGTTTTTTGTTCAATACAACACATAATAAGAATAAAGCAATTTTTTTTTGTTTATCATGTGTGTGTTCTTAAAATCCCTTAAAATATGAATACAATATTAAATTCCATTAAAATAATAAGAAAAATTAAATATGAAATGCCATGAAATATAACGTACTAAAAGCCCTAAAATACCAGGTAAACAGAAAAAAAATCCCTTAAAATTCGATTCTAAAAAAAGTTTAAAATACATACAAAACAGAGAAAGTCAATTTTTTAAAGCAATGTGCATAAATAAGCTCAGAACACAAAAATTAAATCGATAAAATTGACACAGGCTGTGTGTATGTGTAAGTGCAAAAATAATAAAATATTTGAAGAATGAATTAAGTTTCAGTGAAAAACCAAAAATAAATTAATTAACAAATAAAAAAAATAGAAAAACAATTATTTCATCATACATAAAAAAAATAATACTAAATAAAAATAAAAATGAAATAGATAAAATATATGGAATCAGTTGAATTATTAAAGTATATCCTCACTCAACCCCGATCTCCCGAAACAATGAAAAATTCAAAAAGCAAACAAAAGTACCGCAGGATCTCCAGCACCAAACGCTGCGAGGCAAAGAGGAAGGATGAGTTCCTGCCACCGAGGGGTCAACCCGGTGGGCTGGATGACCCGAGCCGGCGGAACCTCTGCAGTTCGAGGGTGAAGGTACAGCATCGGAGCAGCAGGTACAGCATCGGCGCCAGCTCCCAAGAGCAGCAGCACTCTCACACCACCGGTGACCACCCCCAGGAGGGTGTGTCCGGAGGTCAAGGGCGCTGCTCGCGGCTCAGTGGTGGCGAAGGTACCAGCCGAGAAGGGGCCAGAAATCTTGGACCTCCGTCCGAGCACATCGCGTGCATCGGCCATGAAGCCCAACTCACCAACACCCACCGAGCCTCGATTGTCGTATGCAGATACTGCCGTGTTGCCTGTGGATTTCCCACAGGCTATGCTCAGTCACGGAGACTCGTCTGAGGCCATCATAGACGAGGTCATTGCGTCTGGAGGGTACATTGCGGTCTTATTCGCGGGTATTAATTTCCGGGTTGGTTCCTGGTCATTGAGCCGATTGGCTGAGAACCGCAGCGTCGCGCCTAGAATTATGGAAGAGCGTGCCCCTAGAATGCAAAGTGGGAACTGATGCTGGGAACTGATGCTGGGGGACGGGGACATCCCTATGTCCTCACAGGAGCTGGCGGAGGAGCTGCAAGATGCAGCAGCAACTGAC